AAAAAAAAAAAAAAAAAAAAACCCCTCCCAAAAATTTTTTTTTTTTTTTTTTTTTTTTTTTTTTTTTTTTTAGAACTTGTTCCTGAGTTGTAAACTTTATGCTCTTGAAGTGTGGCAAAGGAGACCAGTGTTTTGTTACTTCCTCCTTTAATGGCAGTAGTTTGGTTGAATAGTGCTGATGGGTCTGTTTTCACTCTGAAAAGCAAGGCCACCATGAGCAGGAGCTGGGCGGTGCTGCTGGCTGTGCTGGACGAGATGAAGCAGTCATGCCTTCCCTCAGTCTGCTGTTTCTCACATTCCTGCCATCAGTAGCAACTGTCTTTAGCTCCTGCTGCCCACTGCACCAGTGCAATGGAACCACATCCTGGATCTGATAACATTCAAAAACACTCCAAATAGTTGTTGTGCAGACTTTGAATAACTGCTCATGATTACCACTTCTAAACATCCAAATCAGGTAATATTGAACAAAAGCAGACACACAAAAATATGACAAGATCTTGATATGAAATGCTGCATTTTGTGCACTGGCAGCTGTAAATAATTTATTCTGTCACCCAAGGGATGAACATTATTTGGGAAAAATGTTTTATAATTTTGTCCTAAGCTCTAAGCTGTGCAAAGTCTGTTTTCCAGCCCAATGCTTTATGTGTGTTCTCACACTAACTTATTCCTCAGACTGCCTCCTCACCAGCCAGTCGTGTAGTTTTTTATCTTTCTTCCATCATCAACATGATATTTCAAAATAAATATATTTTTCCTGCTATAAATTTGCAAGGCACTCAATGGTAAATGGATTGAACTTATATAGCACTTTTCCAATCACTTTGACCACTCAAAGCACTCTGCAATAGAGTCACATTCACCCATTCATACTGACAAACTCTCACACATTTATACACTGATCATTAGGTAACTTTGGGTTAAGTGCCTTGTCCAGGGGCACATCAACATGTGGCAGGAGAAAGCTGAAATAGAACCTACAGCCTTCCGATCATAAGACCACTACTCCAGAGCCATGGTCGCCCCACAGTAACTAGACTTGAATGTTTGAATATGTCAGTCACTTGAAAATATAATACAAAGTACAAAATATTGGAAACTATTTTGTGGAAAGACTACATATATTTGAACTCTCAAACATGTAAAAGAAGAAGGTTAAATTATAAATGATTTTGCCTGTAATGAAGACCAATTTTCCCGATTCTCAACATACTCAATAACTTTGTCTTTCAGTATTGCTGACCTGGGTGAACTGCTCCAGTGTCCGTATGGCCACCAGAATCCAGGATATTTTCACAGTGGGAAAACTTATGGCTTTGTGTCTCATCATTGTTGTGGGTTTGGTACAGATCTTCGATGGTATGTCTTTCACAATGGACACCCTTCTACTAAATCCATGTGATTTAAAAATAAAAATAAACTAATGTTTTTTTATAGGAAACTATGAGGCACTGACTACTAAGGTGGTCTTTTCCATGGACAAGCCACCATCCATTGGACAGGTTGCTCTGGCATTCCTGCAGGCCTCCTTTGCCTTCAGTGGGTGGAACTTTCTCAATTACGTTACTGAAGAGGTGGTTGACCCCAGACGGTGAATATTTGCCATTCTAAAAACATTGTAGGATGTTCTCTTATTGGGTTTTCCTTCTTGCACTGATTATTAGAAGATAGTTGACTTTTTGTGGACATTTATATAAAGCTCTTATATATAATGAAAAGAATATAGGAAAGATATGTAATTTTGATTCCAGTTTACTGGCTAGATAACCAGTAAACTGGAATCAAAATTACATATCTTTCCTATATTCTTCCATATATTTACATTAATTAAGAACATTTGCTAGACAGATGGCTGTCCAGCAAATTTTCTTAATTAATGCAAATATATGGTTTATTTATTCTGTTCTTCTGATGGAATGACTTAGTGGCAGTGATTAAGCCCCAATAATGATAAACACAAATTTAAATGTCATGTTTAAATAATAATAATAATAATAATGTGATGGCTTTTCTCAGCTACAATACATCTTCATTTACCTTCTGTCCTCTTATCAACAAAGATTTGTACTAATACATGTTCATTGTTTTTGTATTCACCCTGCTGCCCTGTATGACGTAAACTTGGTAAGGAATCTACCTCGCGCCATCTACATCTCCATTCCACTGGTGACGTTTGTGTACACGCTCACCAACATCGCCTACTTTTCTTCCATGTCACCCGAGGAGCTGCTGTCCTCCAATGCTGTGGCTGTTGTGAGTAATATCATGGACGGAAAAATCCCATTTGTGTATTTATACAAACTATAAAACATTTTTTCATCTCAGCTAATTTTGACGACAAATAATATAAATAAAGATTCCTTCAAAATTTCTTTGTTTCTTCATAAAGTTAAATCAAATTTAAGGTCTATGTCTGTGCTTATGAATATGCCTGCCTCCACAACATGTTATAAAATGGCAAAAGGTAAGAGACAAAAAGTGATTTAGAGGCTGGAGGAGCAAACTCAGCAATTTTACATAATGGTAGTATTGGACTGTAATCCTGTGACACTCACATCAACCTTCCTGATCCCACTCAGTCATTGCTTCTGCTCTCCAGGAATCGCTGACTGTTGTTTCTCTTCTCAGACATTTGGTGAGAAACTGCTTGGAGCCTTTGCTATCATTATGCCCATCTCAGTGGCTCTGTCCACGTTTGGGGGAATCAATGGCTACCTGTTCACCTCTTCAAGGTATAAATGACAACATTTCCTGCCTCTTCTAACTTCTGATGCATCGTAAGCCCAGCTGCTGATGGCCTGTATGACTTTGCAGGTTGTGTTTCTCAGGAGCCAGAGAGGGACATCTTCCCAGCCTGCTAGCTATGATTCACTACAAGAAATGTACGCCCATCCCAGCCCTCCTGGTTTGCGTATGTATAGTAACACAGACATCATGGGTTTCCTTTCATGTGTCTAAAATCTGCACTTTGAATGAGCAGTATTTGTTTTGTTTCAAAGCAGCTGGACTTAAATGCATCTATTAATACGCACTGGCCACCTTTTTAGGTAGACCTTGTAAACATCACACAGCTACTGCAGGTTCAAACCTCTTGTTCAGTCATGTTAGATAGGTCAGTTCAAGATGATATGACCCCTGTGACATGTTACATTGTCCTGATGGAGGTGAGGTAACGATTAGAAAATGGGTGGACAGTGTTGAGGATTTTAGATCAGCAGCAACTCTGTGATGATTAAGTAATGCTCAGATTCCACAATGGGGCCCAAAGCATCCCAGCAACAGCCTGAACTGTTGAGACAAGGCAGAATGGATCCATGCTTCCAAGGTCATCACTGAATTTAAGGCCTATCTAGCTGAGCAAAGGTTTTTACAGTTATGGCCACAACTGGCACTCATTGTATATTTTCTCTTTTATTAGACCATTCTTGGTCACCGTCTTCAATAGCTCCCTGAAGAATCTGAATTAATGAGCTACAACAATTAATTGTCCTTTGGGATTAATAAAGTATTTTTGAATTTTTTAATTGAATTTTGAATTTGAACTACAGTGTTTCCTTACTTCCACCAACTGTGGACAGTAAATTAACATGAAGTTTTATTTTATGATAAATAATGTCACTAAATGTTTTTAAGGCAGTTCTTACTGATTTTGAGAAGGAATCACTTGGCTGTAAATGTTTCAACTGAGGAATCTTTTAATTAATTTATGACGGCGTCAACGTTTCTGTTTTGCTGTGAATGTTCTGTAATCTCTGTGTCTTGCTGTCAGTCTTGGCCAGGATTCTCTGGTAAAAGAGATTTTCCTGGTTAAGTTAAAAAATACCTTTAATAATATTAATTCACTTAGTTGAACTAAATTTTCTCTATTAAATTTGTATTTTTTTTTTAAATAAAATGATTCTGCCCTTCATGTTTAAGATGTTTCACTGTTTTAAAACACCTGACTGAGGACTGGAGTTCAGCTAAAGCTTAATAATTACCCATCAATTGAAATCAGGTTTGCTAAAGCAGGGAAGCATCTAAGATATGCAGGGCTATGTGGCTTGAGGAACAGGGTTGTAAAACACATTCTGCTTTTCATTAAGGTTTTCCATCTGAATGTTCTTTTGTTTTATATATTTCTTATTTACTGGCTAATTCATAATATTTTAAATAAGACCATCTTTTGGGTATTGTTTTGAAAAGGGTTAAAGGACAATGTGTTGTGATGTGCTTTAGGTCAGTGAGTAAACTGCTCCTCATCAAATCATCATGTCATGGTTGTTTTTTGACAGTGTGCTGCCACTATTGTTATACTGTGCATCGGCGAAACCCACAACCTGATCAACTACGTCTCCTTTATCAACTATCTGTCATACGGTGTCACCATCGCAGGTCTGCTGTGGTACCGTTGGAAGAGACCTAACTTGTATCGACCTATTAAGGTACAATCAACAAACTGAACAAGTTAGTGCAGGATAATTCTCTTTGCTAAAGTCTGCCTGTGAGTTTGAGCTATTACCGGGACTTGCCTGCACTGTAAATATCATCTTCCACTGCAAAGAGAGAAGAGCTGAGCTGAATGAGGCGGCTGTTAATGTTAATTCAACACGGACTGAACAGCTTTGTTCTCTTCATCTCCTGCCATTGCTAAAAGTAAAGGCAAACTACAATTCTAAAACAGCGCAGAAAATTAATGTCACTGTTCCCAACTTCTCCTTCTGTTTCCTGATTGACCAGGTTGAAATTCTACCAGAGAAATTCCCTTCAATGGGAGAAAGTCCAGACTGAGCAGTGAAATGAGATGAGAATCGAAAGAAATTGCATAGGAAGGCAATGGGCAGGCTAGGTATTGGTTGCTGTAATGTCAATGTAGACTTTTCTATTCATTATTAAGAAGAGTACAAATTATTTATGTTACTTCTCTGGTTATAAATAAAGTCAGAGGAAGTTTTTTTGTTGTTGGTTTTAAATTATACCCCTTGTATTTTCTTATTATTCTTTTAGGAGATGTCTGTGCCAATTCTAGAGAAAAGGTTATTTGTCTATTTTAAAGAAATGTAAATATAAATCTGCCAGGGGTATGAATAATTTTGGATTTAATTGTATGACATGCAGTGATATAACAGGCTGTTTTGACATAATCATGCATACATTTAAAAAAGGTGACTTTAAATTCCTAATCTTTTGCTCAAAAAACTAGATCAAGGCCTATCTCAGTTCCACGGCCAACTATGTTATGTAATCTTTAAACAAATTTCCCTGGTATTCTCTCCCAGGTAAACCTGCTTGTCCCTGTGTCCTACCTTATGTTCTGGGCATTGCTACTGGGATTCAGCCTGTACTCAGAGCCAGTCGTTTGTGGTGTTGGTTTGATCATCATGCTTACCGGTGTTCCTGTCTATTTTCTGGGTGTCCACTGGAAAGAAAAACCAAAGTGTATCGACAATTTTATTGGTGAGTTTGTAAAAACTGAAACATTTTGATTATTGCTCTTATTAATGCAACTAATACAAAACTCTCTCCCCTGTTTCCCTCCAGCATGGGCTACGTCTGTGGGCCAGAGGTTGTGTTTTGTGGTCTTTCCTCAGATTGACCCTATTGAGATTGCCAGTCCTTCAGAATGGACTGATCAGTCATCTGGCAGAAAAAGTTTCTCTGTCAGGTCGTAAAGGTTCCCTTTCTGAACATGTGAAGATTTGTGTTCTGGCTCCTGTTTTTGAATTGCTGTTGTTTTTGTTAAGGCGTTCTTTACTACAATGAAAGTCTCTATCTTAGATTTATCTGATCCTGATAAATCAGCTTTTCATCTAATATTCAAGTGGACATTCCTGCTGTTCTGTTTGATGTGTGAATTTTTACATTTCCTGTATTTTCTTTTGAGGATCAGCATGTAAAATTCTAATGGCCTTTGTTACCTTTTCATTCTTCTACAGAACCCTGATTGACTGACATTAGGTAATCATGTCTTTTAGTTATATTTAGGATTTCATTGTACTCTAAAGCCTTTTCAACCAGATCAAAACCAATGAAAAGTAAAAAATAAATAAATGAGGCATCATTTATTTTTAAAACAATTCAAACCCCACAAACATGTACTTTGTGTTTCCCCCTCCATTCCTCCACCTGACCCCTTTAACGTGTGTCATTAAAAAGTGCTATATACTGTAAAATACCCTTTCCCTCTCACACACACACTTTCTGTTGAACTTGTATGTTTATGTTTCAGATCATCAGGCCAATGTGAACATCAAACAAAGCCTCAGTAAATGCGAAATGATGATTTTATTCATCAAGAGAGAAAGAGCAATTCAAATGTGACAAAGTAACTGCCACCAGACTCTAAACACTGATTTTTGCCCTTCTTGTTGGCACCAGTTGAAATCAAGCCCTTGTGATAACTGTCAATATTTTGTAATTTTGCAACCTTGGTTCTGTTCTTTGTTAACCACTACTTTAATTGAGGATTTAACAAGGAGGGGAATTACATTTTTTTAAACAAAGGTTTGGAAAGCTTTTTTCCTTGTTAAATTTAAGAGTTTTTTGTTTTTACTTAGTTTATCTTTATCTGACATTTGAAATATGCTCAACGAGCTGAACATTTAGGTCTTAGAAAAAGCAAAACATAAGAATTGTGTTGCAGGTAACGTTCACATTACAATGCTTTTTCATAGCATTGAAATGTGATCATCTGGTTTTGTCAAGCAACCCTTTAGATCTACTGCAGCCTGACAGATATCAGATCTCACTGTTACAGCAGCAACACCGTAATCCAAATGAGCAGAAGCCAGGTTGGGACTAAAAGCTTTTTGTAGTACATTTGATGCTGGAAGACATTCATTCCTGTTCATGTTGCCACATCTTTGACCTGGACTGAAATATTTCAAAGACTGCAGAACAAAGCAGCATTTTGTATAATTCTCAAGAGTTTCATAATCATAATAATATAAATATCCTGTCACTTGGCACCTTTGATCAATCTCACTTTGAACTCACTTCAGACTAGCTGAGACTAACTTTAGGGTGAACATAGCTTTGACACCTAACGGCTGTTGTTTCACCCAGGCAGGAAAACATGTACAGGTATCACTTTCTCAAAATGCCAATAGAATTACTCTCAGGGAGAGCTTGAATGAAGCTGGATTTTGGTCAGATGTTATGGATAACTTGTTGCTTGTCTTTTGGTTACATGTTTGGCAGTTCTTCAAAAATAATTTCAGAACCTAGAGCAATTTCCAGTCTTGTGAATTGCAGTTTTAACTTTGCAACTCAATTTTCAGCTTAGTGAAGCTGAAATATTTGAAAGACTTGTATCTTGTAGTTGTCATTTAAACTGTTCATCAGTTAACTATAGCTTTTCCCAGCAGTTTAGTCCTTTTTGTTGTTTTAATTAACATGTCAATGAACTTACATGTTAAAACACTGTGCAAATGGTATGAAATATAGTATACTGGCTTTTAATATTTTTACAAACAAACAAAATCTAAGATGTGTAGCATACATTTACATTTAGCCCTTTTGAGTCATATGTAACGGGTACCAGGGTTCCAGACACAGTATCAGATAATAAAGTACTATGTTAACATAAACATTGAGGGTTATCCTCACCTGAAAAACAGTATTTAAGTGAGCACACGGGAGACGCAGTCTGTGTGATACTACACAATTTCTCAACTTATGAGAAACGGCAGAGCAACCGGCAGCTCAGAATCTCCATGCGCCACCTACCGGTGAAACACCGTTACTGCACCCATCGTCATTAACCCCATAAACATTTAAAGAAATGCATGTCCTTTTATTTCCACTTTTGTGGGCACACATCAGTGGGCATCACACATACTTAAAAACTATTTTGGGATGTTGACTTACTGCAGTCGAACTTCTTACAATTTCTGAAATTGTAAAGAAGTTTCATAGAACTTTACGTGGGTTATACAAAAGTTATTCACAAAGCACCTTAGGTCTCATAGGAGCCCCTGATGTGACTAAATGTTAGGAACAGTGAGGAGGACTTCTTCAGCATAATGCCTCCAATCGCATGTGTCCCTCTGGGATTTCTGTGTTCATGGTTTATATGCGGTTTGTTTTCTGCAACACATTTTGGCAAAAAAGCTAATTAATTTTGGCACCTTCCACGTTTTCTTTGTGTCCCTTAGCTTGAGGTTAACTGCATACATGACTCATTAGCCGTTTTCGCACTGCAAGGAACGGAACGGAACGGCACGCTTCGGTCCGGTTCCACCCGGACGGCAAGCCCTGTTGTGTTTGCATATAACTGAGGGCGGTGTTCTGTCAGATAGCCATACGCTGTCAGAATATCATGCATGCAGTCAGTACGCATGCCCGCACATGCGCATTAAGAAGTCAGACCGTCAGCACAGTCGTCAGTTCAGCATACGCAACAAGTTATGACGAAAATAAGTCATTAAATTGTCTATATATCACATAATATGATAACTAGATAGATATACATGCGTTATCATGGTTTCAAAGTGTATTTAAAGCAGGTCTGGCTGCAGCTGCAGTCAACTACAACACACGCCTGTGTAAAACTCATTAACCTACTTAACCGCTAAGTCAGGATGCCATACAACTGTTAATAACAAAGTGTATGATGATCTATGTCATGATTCTATGTTGATGATTAAATAAAATCATATGGTAATGACAGCATATACATGTCTGAGATAAGCGTATGACTATCTGACAACGTATGCTGATCTGACAGAACACGGGCATGCGTACTAACTGCATATGCTATCCTGACAGCGTATGGCTATCTGATAGAACACCGTCCCGTTCCGTTCTGTTCCTTGCAGTGCGAAAACGGCTATTATGACAGTCTTTCTTTTTTGTTTATTTTTTTGTTTTTTGGCACTACTCCAGAAGTGATCTTAATCCTGAAAGATGTTTATATATAAAAAAAATTATGTCATAAAAGCCATCTCACCTTTTCCAGGTTTTAGCATTTTTTCAACCGGGCTTCAGGCGGTTAAAGACGCATGATGGCCTTATAGCCATTATTTATTCAACAAAGTAAAATCCAATCAAAATGGAAAGTGTAAAAGTAGTGTACACCCAACCCACTTTACAGTGTCTTTCTGACAATCAGTCTTTCATATTGTTATGGAAGTCTCAGGCTGCCTTTCTTTCCAACATTGCTTCAGTTCATTTACTCCTTCATGCACTGCTCCCGTATACACCACAGCAGTCAGTTCAGTCAGCTCGGGGTCTGGGTTATACTATGATTGACTGATTTGTCCCTCTCTTTTAATTCTCTGCATGCAGTTATTTGTGTTTTCTTTGTTTACTTAATTTAATCAGATCTAATTTTCAGAGGTTTTACGTCTGTCCCTCATTTTGTAACCTCTAAGCACTTTGTTTTACATGTGAATGTACAAAAAGTGTTCTATGAATAAAAATTAATTGATTGATGGATTTATAATCTGTGAAAAGAACATCATTCTAGACAACTGGTCAATCACACAGACACAACTTTCCAAAACTAAGTTGTCAGTTTCTTTTTAGAGAGAACAAGTGTTATCCTGGCAAACAATTGCAATTAGTTGTTGATTCTTTATGTTTTGATAGTTTCTTAAGAATAAATTACATGCATTTAATGCATGTAATGCACCTACAAGACATTTTCCTGCTATTTTTATATGAGACCAATATCACTGACATTGACTTAAAAAAATAACAATAATAATAATTAACTGTGACAGTGTAACTATGATGAATTCACTGGAATTTAACTAATTGATTTTATATCATCTGGAAATTTCAGCTAGATTGAAATACTGACTTCACAACCAAGTTTGAACTTGAATCTATGTTGAATGGATATATGCAGACGTCATTGCTGACATAATGACGTGTCACTTTTTGCTGATGATGGAGCATTATGGAAAAGGGTGATAAATGTAGAACATCTTATTTTAAAACTTCAGGAAGGTATAGATAAAATGGGTAAGTGGGGGGTAGAATGGGGCTTTAAATTTTCAGATGAAAAGACAAAAGTAATGTTTTTTACAAATAAAAAAATTGGGGTTAATAAAAAGTTGTTTTTATATGGGAAAGAGTTAGAAAGGGTTGACTGTTTTCGTATTTTGGGAGTAGTTTTTGAATAGAAACTAACTTGGGAAAATCACATAGAACATATTATGGAGAAAAGTAAAAAGGTTCTTAACATTATGAGGTGTTTAGCAGGGTTGACATGGGGTGCAAATTTTGA